ACAACACAAGTTCAACAATAACGCCACGCAGGGCGAAACTAGTCTTGGGAAAAATTGTGTGTGTTAGTGGGAGAGGGGGCGTGGCTCTGGCTTTATGTGATTTCAGGAAGCCATTCCAATGGTCTGAAAACACCAGCGCGAAGGGGGGGGGTTGACGCCAAGAGAGACCATACTGTGCCCTCAAGGGGGGGCGGGGAGGAATTGCCAGCGTTTTGGGGTCAGCGATGGTGACAGCCGTAATTGAACCAGTAGCTCTTGAAACAGTTGTTTCTTGCTACCAGTGTGCAGTCGACTGGAAACAAAAAAGGTCAACATGAACAGAATTCTTGGAGGAAGGGGGCTCGGGCACACAGTTCAAAGGAAAGGGGGAACAGCCTTTCGTAAGAGGGCAACAAATGGGGTCGGTCTGGCCGGAAGGCACTGGAAATAGACGTGGAGAATTTCCAAATTGTAAAAAATGGAAATAATAACATTGATATGGAAAGGGGGTAAAAGGTACAAGGTAAACATGCGGGTAATTACGCTCACTTTTACAGGCAAATTAGTCACGGAAAGAGGGACGGGGTAGATAATACGGGGTTGGTTATGCGGCAATGAGGGTTTGTTGACGTCTGACAGGGGGGAGGGTGAAAGGGAGAATGTGCGGAAAATGCAGGCAGTTATGTGACCGTTGGCCATGCCAAGCTCGAAGCTTGCACGAGGTTCTTTTCCGCGCACAAAACCGGCTTCCTCAACAATTTAGCGGTTGCTTCTGCTGTTGCTACTAAACCCTGACCCAGGAACTTTGTTTCTGGCAGTGATGAGGATGGTTGTGTTTCCCCTTTACAGTACTTACGCATTTTTTGTTGCGGAACAGTTCTGTGATTTGCTGTGTGGAGTAAGGGTGCGTTACAAACACAGGGTCTTACCGAGAACTCTAATAATTTACTAATCTGACACTTTGTGGGCCCAACTGTTGTCCAAAAGACTGTTAGAGGCTACGGCTGCAAATAATGAAGGTAGATTTGTTCGC